GTTTCAAATCACGGTCAAGTAGTTAAAGTTCATCTAAAATCACGTTATTTTGCGAATTAGCGCCCCTCAACTGATTATCAAGCCCCCCCACTTCAACTTCGCGTCCCTCATCATTTCAGTGCTACATTTCAAGACATCTAGATACGCCAATGACTTACATGGCCAGATGAATGAAAATACTCAATCGATGTGCCACTAAATCGTAACCAGCCTTCACCACGCCCTCACGATGTCACCGGGGACGCAACTGCCAAAAAACTATTTTTGGCAGCGAAGGGACGCTACCAATAAACAATCAACAAACTACCAGGTTTCTGGGTTGATTTGCAAGGTATTACATGGCTCAACTATTTTTTACTTAGGGGTTAATTGGTGAAAATCGCACACAAATCATACGACGTCATTGGCAACGCCGGGGACGGCAACTCGATTTTAAGATGATAAACAATTTCAATGGACTAAAGTCTTGCTTATGTTAACCACATATAATAATAATAAATTTAGCCACTGAAAATATATCAGTTATTGGCAGCCATTGACTAGAAAATTTAGTTGGCATATTACATCTCATGATATTCTTATATTATATTATATTAAACTATACTGTATTAATTATATTATATTATGTTGTGAATACATATTAATTAGAAAAATTAGCCAATATTAATATTATTATTAATATTAATATTTTTCACCAATTTTATTCTACGAATTTAGATAATCTTACCTAAAATTGAATTGGATAAAAGTTAAGCCCACATGGACATTTAATTTTAACTGAAGAAAAAAATACATATTTTCTTAATCATAATCATTATTAATCTTACACCAAAGAGAAGAAAATAATGTGGACTAGCATTAACTGTTCACCCCAGATTTCACAGACTTGTGGTTCCTGGGCTATGTCGAGAGGAGTAGGTTGAGTCTTATCATACAGGTGGAATTTACACTTTGTTTTTTTTATAGGAACACATTTTATAAGAACACTGAGACTGAATAAGAACATATTGAGGCTGAGGTAAAATGTCAAATGAGGTTTTCTAATTATTATTTTTTTAAATAGAAAAACCAAAACATTTTTTTATCTGGACCTTATGTGCAGAAGTAGTGTAATACTTACCCTCTACATTGCAGTACATTAGTATACAACTATACAATAACACTTTTCTATGTCTGAAAAATGTGTAAAAAAATTAACAAAATAAGGACATTTTGAGCCTGAAATAGGCCAAAAAATAAAAACAAAGCTTGAGCAAAATTGCACTGGCTCTTATTTTTTTTTAATGTGTAGTCTTTTTTTCCTATTCAAAACCTAATCAATTTAACTTGTGGTCTGTCAAAAAGTGGTCAGGTTGAAACCTGACCAACCGTACTGGTGGCTATGGTGTGTGCTGATGAATGATAGGCCACACTATGTCAACGCCACCGTGGTTGGCGGTGACGCGAAAATTTCAGTATTTCATACCTTTGGAGGTCCGGAAACGGAACTTAAATTACCGTTTAATTCTTTTATTACGAATTCAGTTAAAAAAAAAAAACAAAAAAAAATCGACTTAATTAAATACCGTAGGTACCCGAAATTGGCACTTCAATACTTACAATTCTAAAAACTACCATATCCAACTAGCTGAGCCCCACCCTGGCAAATATTTCAAAATTACTTTTAAAGAATAAAGAAAAAACTGAAAATAATATTTAAATCCGGAGAGTGCCATTCCCGGCCATCTAGAGAAGATGAATTCTTATTTTTTCTTACCTCAGCCCCAACCATGGTGGGCCTGAGGTGTCTATCCGTGAAGGTCCCTCTCTGGGCACCCTCTATTTAGAATTTCTGGATCCATTACTTTAAGGACCACCACATCTGAACCAAGGTCAGGGAAAATCCTGGATCCGCGGCTGGCATATAAACTGTATGCCTAACCTAGTTGGGCATGAAAGAAATGTTTCTCTCGAATCAAGTAGATGGATGCATGTAAGGCCATGTAGTATGTATCTATTATTTGTACTAACATTTAAAATAACACGCAGATATACATTGCACTGACGTAAATTCGAGGTATTGGGACGCGTTTAAATATATTCGAAGTATTGAGCTAGTGTAGAGCTAGCTTGACCCTAAACTTACACCTAAGCACTATGGTATTGCGGAAGAATAGCCATGTTGATCAGACCCAGATTCGAGAGAGAGGCCCTACAGCTAAATAAAATAAACTTGAACCTATAGGGTGCATCCCTCATCATAGGCTAGGACTGTAGGGCTAGGCTAGCCCCGTAACTGATGATTAGGCCGAGCTTATATCATGGCTTGTGCCGAGGTGTATCTTTATTTTTACCTGATCGATTTCTAAAACATGTTATTTATTGCTGATGTTTTGAGAATGCAATGGGTACTCGGAAGTGTACGGGAACATGCTGCTCACTCATTTTGTTGACGTGTGATGCGCTAGAGAAGCACTTTGCGGTGATGTAAAGAAGCTGCTAAACATAGACTGGCCTGCCGCGATATTTTTTAGAGCTAAAGCACTGCAGTACAGAATAGATTGGGTACTGTATTTACGTGGCATAAACAACTTGCGAATCATGGCGACACAGGTACTGATTTTAGGTGGTTTTTTGCTGTTTTTTCGTTTGTTATATCCAATATCCAGCCAAGAAAAGCGGAATATGGTCATGACATATAGAAACCCCAGTGTATGAGATATGAGCACATTTCTGCCAGCGGTTTCAGAGGGATAGGTGAAGTTACGCGGTGGAAATTAGCAGAAATAATATATAGATAAAAAGAAAATATATGCAAGGTTTAAAATGACGATAATCACCACCGTAATGTCTGTCTCTTATACACATCTAGATGTGTATAAGAGACAGTCGGAAAACAAGATTCACTCTTTCCAAGTTGTTTAATTAAAATTACTTTGAGATATGTTGTGTTTTATTATTCTGTAGGCCGAGACATGGCACTATGTTAGGCGTTACTCAATGCTTTAGGATATTGGCGTACAGAGTTTGTTAAAAACTTTATGCTTCAAGGGTTCGCTCATTTACAGAAATACTTTTATGCAAGAATATCAAAGTATTGTTTTTAATTTGTTCATCGATTGGGGTTTTTTATAACGTTATATAAATGGCTACTCGTAGTAGTATCGACGTACGGACTTATAGTTATCAACATCAAACTTCTATTGTGATATCAATAAACGATATGCTGGAAATTTGGAATCTTAATAAATTAAATGCACATTCTTAAATTATCACATTTTTTGTACATCTTAATTAATTAGGCATCATGTTGCCATCAATGTTGTTGAGAGGCGGCCACACAATATTTATTTAATTTAGAAAGCCGTGAAAGACTCGCATCTAGGGCTGAAACAGCGTGTTTCAATTCACAATCTGACAACAGTGCATCATATCATCATCAAATCTCTTCTTCCCTGGAGGGACATAAGGCCACAACGAGAACCTTCCATCTATCCCGGTCTTTTGCTATGATAGTAGCACTGTTCCAAGTGAGACCAATTTCTTTAAGTTCCTTTTCTACCGTACCCCTCCATGTTATCCTTGGACGGCCTACTTTCCGTTTCCATGGTGGTGTCCATCTTAGAGCGATCTTCGGTGTTCTTTCGTTGGGCATCCTCAAAACATGGCCAAGCCATCTAAATCTGCGGAGTTTTATTTCAATGCTGACACATCTACTCTTTGTTTTTTTTAATAATTCATTAATAAATATTCTGTTTGGCCAGAATATCTTACAAATCTTTCGTAGGCATTTGTTGTGGAAGGAGTCTAAGCATCTAGTATCTAGTTTTGATATTCGCCAACATTCTGATCCATATAATAGTATAGATTTAACATTGCTATTATACAATCGAATTTTTGTCTTGAGGCTGAAGTTGTTTGATTTTCATATTGGACGGAGTTGGACAAAGGCATATTGTGCTTTTCCAATTCTGGATTTGATGTCATCTTTTGGGCCATTATCAGTACTGATGATACTGCCAAGGTAAGTAAAGCTATCAACAGATTCCAGCTCTTTACTATTCACAAAAATTTGAGGCTTAGTTCTGGTGTTGAAAGTCATGGTTTTTGTTTTTCTTGAGTTTATTTTTAAGCCGACTTGTTCGGAAAAGTGTTCTAGTCTGGATGTCTTTTCCTGGAGATTTGCTGTATTCGACGAGATTATAGCAAGATCATCTGCAAAGTCTAGATCTTCTAAGACAGAAAACAGGGTCCATTGAATACCTCTACGTTTGTCGGATGTTGTCTGCTTCATTACCCAGTCTATGGTCAGAAGGAAGAGAAATGCAGAAAGGATACATCCTTGTCTGACGCCGGATCTGACTTCAAACCATTCAGATATAATGTTATTTGAAATGACGCTGCACTGGAAGTTGTTGTATAGTTGTTTGATGAGATCAATAATCTTTGAGGGTACACCGTAATGTTGGAGAATTTTCCAAAGGGTAACTCGGTGTATGCTGTCAAAAGCCTTTTCAAAGTCGATGAAATTTACAAAAAGAGGTGCATTCCCGTCTTTCATCTATCTTCTTCCATGTCTCATTACTGATCCATTTCTTGCATCCTCTTTGTTTGTATCCGAGAACATTTTTTTGCTGTATCTACATAGGATTCCTTGATTGAGCTCCATATCTGCTCAACACTTGGGTCGTTATCGTCTAGTAACTCATCTTGTATGGTACTAAATCGATTTCTTAACTGTATTGTAAACATATTTGTTGTATCTTCCACTTTTAATTTAACAATATCTAATTTTCTGCTTCTGGAATTTGATTGCGTAACCCTATGTAGCTTTAGCATAACAGAACATATGACAAGATAATGGTCACTACCAGCATCTACTCCACGGAACACTCTGACATATTGAAGTGATCTGCGCCATTTTCCATTGATGATTATGTGGTCAATTTGATTTGTGGTACGATTATCTGGAGATACCCAAGTGTGTTTGTGAATTGACTTGTGAGGAAATAATGTTCCTCCTATGACAAGTTGTTGTTTGCACAGATTTCAACAAGTCTATCTCCATTGTTGTTTCTCTCCCCACATCCATGTTTGCCCATTGTTCGTTCAAAATTACTATTGTCTGATCCAACTTTTGCATTTATGTCACCCATTATAAGAAGCATGTCATGTTGTGGTACTTTAGAGATTGCCATTTGTAGTTGATCATACCAGTCATCTTTGCAATCTTCATCTGCATCATTAGTTGGGGCATAACATTGTAGGACAGATAGTTTGCAGTATTTTGAATTAAACCTTGCTCGGATCAGTCTGTCGCTGATAGGTTCCCACTCCAACAGTGTATTTAAGTTTTCTTTGTCAATTATAACAGCAACCCCGTATAAATGAATGTTCTCCTGACCTGAGAAAATTACCGTATATCTGTCATTTGTTTTGATTTTTCCCGAACCGGTCCAGCGTGCTTCGCTGATTCCTAGGATCTGTATCTTGTGGCGTTTCATCTCATTTGTAATTTGTGCACGTTTTGATGTTTCGTACATGGTACGGACATTCCAAGCACCAGCACGGAGCTTAGTCTTGGGTCCAAGAAGATTCTCTTTCACACTTCTAACTTCCCGATAAGGGCTTTCATTAGAAATAGTCATGCTGTCGTTGTTACGACTCGAGTCTCCATGAACCAGGTTAGTCTTTTTAATTCTCGTTAAAAAGTGTTTTTACAGGGTGGGTTGTTAGCCCCCCGCTAACCTCTGTCTGCGTCGAGGGTTCGCTGGCTGAAGTTTGTCTGATTCCTCCCCTCAGACCTGCCCGGTTTGGGTGACCCTATACGGTATAGCTCTGAGGTTCTTAGGAGTACACAAGCTCTATCACCACGTCAAGGTCTCAGCCAATGATAGACAACAGTGCAACGTTCCTAAAATACCAGGGTTACTCCGCCCTATTAATTCATTTTTAAATATTACTTTGTTTATTTTATATAATTGATTCATTATCGTGAAATGCTCGATGTAGATCACGTATGCCATAAGCATCATGTGGTGGTTATTGTAATGGTGGCGGTTACGGTGATGATGATGAGGAGGAGAATAAGGAGGAGGAGAAAGATGATGAGGATAGGGATGGCGATGACGATAACGATAATGATGATCATGGTGATGTCTTATTTTATGCTAACATATTTTTAAAATACTAGATAATCTGGATTTATTGCGCTATCCGAAGTCAAAGAAAAAACAAGAAGACAAAAACACTACTTATACTGTACGTTTTTCAAGTCTGCAATTTTGTCTGTATGTCTAAAGTTAACGACTGTTAATATGCAGACAAACCAGAATCATAACTGTTTTCAGTTTGTCATTATTGATATTAACTAGGATAATATTATTAATGTTAACAGGATGGATTATTACGTTTACATCTTGTAATTCGTGCCTTCTGTTGTTTATTACTATCTTAGGTTAATCTACAGCCAGCATATTGTAAGTGTATGTATTTTTATCAACAAATCATCATAATATATGAACAATTTGCTTCGTTTTTTTTTAACGCACATTACATTTATTAGTCACATCAACAGGTCCGGGTTTGTTTTGTGGGGCTGAATTTAAACGTTGCCATCATACAGTAGAGCTATGATAAAAGGCTACTAGTACAATGCGACAGACATATAACTATACATTATAACACTTTTCCAGGTTTTAGTTTTAAAACTCATGATGAAGGTGACAAGAGAATTGTAAGTACGATTGTTGTGAATTCAAGTTTTAAAGATTTATTTGATCATTTTAAATGTGCTATTCAAAATCCTAATTGAATTTTTCAAGATTACATTCTGATGATTTTTGTGAAGATGAATTGGGCAATGAGATTAGACATAGTTTTCAGCTTCCGTATTTGACGAAATTGTGCCGACATTCCAGGTTGAAATACTAAACAACCTATTTTAGTTAGTAGCATAATGTCACCATGCAATCTCCAAACTAAAAAGAAATTAATTCGCAGGCAACGTTAAGCGGGATAGTCCCGACGTGCACAGCATATTATGTATTTTAAAAAAAATTCTAATATTATATTATTGACTAGGCCTAGGCCTATATATTTGTTTTGTGCGGTTAAAAGGGTTTTGTGTGGTTAAAAGGGTTTTGATGGTTAGCTGAACCACACACAGACATTGTAATGGTTATTAGAATTTTAGCTATAATTATTTAAAGGAGCTCTGGACCAAACAAGTCTCTATATAATATTATAAGAATTATATGAATCGGGTTGCTATACGTGTTTATTTTAAAATAAAGGCCCATTCAAAGTAGGGGTATAGCTGAAATTACAAAGTCAAAGTCCTTGGTCAAATTCCTAATTTACACACAAATTGAAGGGCAGATTTGCTGTCATAGGCCACAGGCTATAATTTCTTTTCTGATCAGGGGCCCTTCTAAGCCCCTGGCTCCAAGCATTTGGTTCCTTGCTTCGATCAGAACACTTGTACCCCCACATAATATCACGGACACACACTGACCCCCCTCCCCCCCACTATAGACATAATACTGGCTACACCACTGTATGTCTTTGTGCGCTCGATAGAGCATGGTATTTATGTATTTGAATAAAACGTTTCAGAATACATTAACTTCAATGGGGTACAATTGGGAATTTTGCTTGCTGAGTAATTTGTCACCAAAATCATTCGTCTATGCCTACTGTTTAACGCGGTTTCTACTGAATATGAGTGAAATAGATCGCCTGCAGGCTCCCTAATTATGTATATGGTAGCGGTCGACGCGTCAATAATAGACAGCACATTTTCAAATAACTTCTCTCATATTATGCAAAGCCAAAGTATCACGCAAGGAAAACAGCCTCTGTAGAAGAGATGTATTCAATAATATAACACTGATACCGCTACAAATAATTTAGGCATCAAATAAGTAGGCCTATGTAATTAACATGTACATAATTAACTTAAAACAAAAAATGGTTAAACATAATTACCTCAGGTTAACATTTGAATGCTTGAGAATATGTCAATCATAACCCAATTTATCAGTGCCATAGTTAGTTATAATAATTACCATTAGGTAATTACAGAATAGTGTCATTACAATGATATAAATAAAATAGTGAACCTTATCAGTTTGTAGAAGTTACCCAGCATCCTCTATTCGGGATAGTATGAATACAGTTACGTAGTTAACATAATCTACATAAAAAAATATTATATATAAGACATAAGTACAATAATGTAGAAACACAAGAAAACATAAATAATATTTAAGCTAAGTGATTAACGATAAAGGAAGGCACATATTGGCCTCTATGAAACAATAATGCAAAGCGCCACTTATTGGCAACTATCAAACAATAGTGGAAGCGGGGCAGTGCTATTTGGCCGTTGTGACTGCCAGATTTATCAAATCTGGCTGTATAAAAATATAACATTCGAAAAGTCAAAAAGTTGGCCGAATATGTGAAAGGTTATATTATAACGTTCTTGATGTTGTTTTTGTATATACAAAAGTATAAATAAAAATATATTTGACTGTAATCTACATGTAGTGTAGGCCTCCTTTGTTTGCATTGAAAGTTCCTAGTCACACTCACACCTAATTCATGTTGCCCTCTAAGCATATACTGCAATAATGTAAAATAACGGTAAATACTGTAGATGAAATTCCTAGAAAGGTACGCTTTGTGCAGACACTCCTCTAGATTACTGCACAACCCAAAGTGTACATCTGTATGGTGTAATTCTCTAAATAATCAATGCTGTTATTTATGGATCTATTTGAAATGTAAAAGATAAATGATAGAACAATTCACATGCTGTTAATATTATATTTTCAAGGACAACAAATTAAATTATAAGGAAAAAGTTCGTGCAGTATTGAAGATTTACCACAGCGATACCTACATTAACCGTGTCGTATCAAAACTGCGATCAAAAATACAACTTGTCGTTAAATTAGGTGTAAATCTGACCTTTAAGTCACGCAGTAGTTTATCATCTGTAACAGCTGCTTGAAGATCCTGGGGATCTTCGCCTCCTGATGTTAACCTTGTTTTTTTTAAATATTTTCTTCAAGGGTGGAAGCTCACACTTCAATAACTCTGCCATAAGTACACTGATGTTCATCCACAATGTGTCTAAGAACTGAAGTCCAACGTTCCTGTTAAATAAATTCACAATTAGTGCCACAAATAGTTCCAGCACACTTGGTTGAACAATAATAGTGTTAGTTCATTTAACCATGACATGATTGATAAATTAAGAAGAAACGAATATATTTAATAACTACTATCAAGGAATAAAAAATATAAGTCACCGTCATTGCGTTTTATCTCCTTGGTATGTCTCTTTGCAGCTGACCACCACAGATTATTGACAATTCTTTCTCTCACTGCTTGAGTTAAATTTCTTGACTGTAGCAGCAGCAACTTTCTTCCAATGGTTTCGCAAGGTATCATGTGTCATATTCATGCTTAATACCTGGCTGTTTCTTGAGCATGGTCTTGGCCAACATTGGATGCCAATCACTTTTATCTATTTTAAATATCTCTTCCTATAAAATGAGATAAAATTGTTTATACTTTAAGTTGATTGTTTGGTGATGAAAGGATCACTGTTAAACACTGTACTCTCAAAAGGAGACATGTGGCCAGTTTGGCCAGTTAAAGAGCGATGCTATTCAGTTGGAATCAAATTGGAAGCCAACTTGCAACTTTTAAATTTTATCATCTGAAGGCATCTAATTGTAAACTCTCTGAAATCACGGAAAGTTGTTTTAAAATTTAAAAACACTTTAGGCATGCATTTTCAGAATCTTGATTGTTGTTGGTGTAAGCTACATGTTTTTCTGAACTGCATTTTAAAATTAAAAATAAATCTTAATTTCGTAGCCTTCAGCACATCAAGGCACCTTTTTAGTGTTTTCAAGGTGATGAGAATTGTAAACTCTCTCTTCATTGTCAGATACTGTCTTATAGGCCTTATAAGGAGTGTAACTAGGTTGTGAGGGGCCTTGGTTTAAGAGTACAGTTAGGTCCCTTAAAGCATTCAAATTGACTGACCATGTCAACTAAGATGTGTACCGCCGATGTGGTTAAGAGCAGGGATTCCCTCCGATTTTTTTAATACTATTTTGACAATAAGTCTTTCGATTTTTTTTTAAATTTTTAATTATTAGACGTTCTCAGAGGACATCTTCAAAGAGCCAGCATATGTCTGGATTGACCATAATAATAAGCATTTTTACTTCTTATGACAAATAAAGAACATTCGATATTTACTAAATTTAGTGTATTTTATTTATCGGATTAATCATTGAACATTGTAAACAATTATCTTGTATATTAATTTTATATACCTAATCTAAATAAAATAAAATTTATCACACCTGATATCATTAGACTTATGTATGACTTTGATCATGTAAAACACTTATTTAGTTTATTTCAATTTTTTCATGATTTTTTTTTTTACATTAGCAAGGAACAATTTATCTTTAAAGAAGACAAAACAGAATGAAAAAACCAAAATTGTATTGAAATGCACGCCATCCTGTTGGGATTCAATATTTTGACATTAATTTTGTCATCATCAGGAATACGATTTTATTCACACACTAAATTTACTGGACTTGTATCTGGCGATATTGAAATGAATCTGTATGTTTATCTGAAAGTAACATTGATGTTAATAATTTTGATACTAGGCTACAGTATGAAAGACTCGCATCGCGCTATATTGCGAAATCAATATGTTCTATGAATGGTATGGTTCCAAACGATTGGAAAGTCTCAATAACTACACAATATACATAAAGCCCTAACAATTATAGACCAATCTCAGTCGTATACTACATAGTTAAAATTGTTGAAAGTCCAAGAACAAATTATTACATATCTCAATGAAAATGACCGTATAAATGTTGAGCAAACCTTCACCGTGTAATAGATGATTGGCTACTAGAATCCATTCATGACCGCGAAATGATAGCCACGTACTTTTTCGATATTGCACACTGTTTCGGAACAATGAATCATACACTAATAGAAAAAAATTGAAAACTATTCATGTAAAGGAAACGAGTTATTATGGTTCCAAAATCACTTGGCTGGAAGGAAGCAAATATTGAAATGTTACAATAAAACATTGCTTTATTAATTTTTTTTTTATAAAGGAGCTTGGGGGCCCAGGTTCAAAGAACCTGTTGAACGCCACTGTTGAACGCCACTGGGCCGAATAGGTCCGTTTCGGTATCCATCAGCGAGTACGTCCCATAATGTTAAATTGTTCACAGATACAGATAAGTCGTGGCGACAGTCCCCTGCAACAACAACTTTTTTTTGTCAAGATTTTCATAAACAAGAATATAGTAGAAAATAGTATGTTATTACTTCGCAATAATCAAATTAATAATTGATCGATATTGATTATCACTTTAAAAATAAAATTAAAAACCTGATGTTGATGCTTAAAAAAAACCACAAAAAAATACATTATCCATTTTGTTTCTCGGTTTGAACCAACGATATGTTTTATTTTCTTGTGTATTGTGGAAGTCGTAGTTCGTCAAACCCCAAATTAATTGAGCCCTTGGCGGTGAAGAAAATTTGTACAGCAATTAAGTTTGCTTTTGTTTAATCCTGTCTCTGTCAAGGGTGTTTTGTTTTGTTTTTGTTGTACATGTTTTTAAAAATTGAACGAAATAAACGAAATTAAATGAAATTAGGAAACAGTGTCAGAACTTCAAGTCTTCCTTCCTTTATTCCAGCATTAATGAGTCTGTAAAATGAGGGCTGCGAATCTTCGCTTCTTTTATTTGGTGATGGAGCCTGTGTTTCCTCAATGTTGGCGCAATTTTTGGTATTCCCATTTTCCGAAAATCGAGTTCTTTTGGGTCGCCACTTTTGTATTATCTCTTTGAGATAGTGATATATTTAAACCTACAACCAAGATGAAATTTCAGAAACAAGCCAGTTTCTATATCAATTAAAATAGCACTAGCTAATTGTTTAAATTTTCCAGTATTGTATTTGTTTGCATTGTTGCTTATTTTAGGCCATGGCCTTCTTTTTGTTATATGTCTTTGTTGCGTTTATTATTATTGTAACGAGACCCCTTCGGAAACAAGCAGAAAATGCTTAAAGGGTTATCCTGAAATTCTCTTATTGTTGTTTAATTCGTTTAATTTTATACCCTGTTTAGTTGTGAGAATTTCGAAATAAATCAAATCAAATCATAGTACAGTTATTATAGTATTTGGTTCAATGATGTACATGTGTGGTAGTCAAATATGCAATACTTACCTGTGTCTTTCTTTTATTTACAGATAGTCAGTCGTAGTTGCTCTTATTTACTGGGCATTATTAATCAAAGTTGTACAGCAGTTGTTAAGAAGATTGATTCTCGCCAGAAGTCGTCTTATTTACGATGATCCGACATCTTGTTACATTGATGTGCTTTTTAGCATTTATTCTTTTGTATTGTATGTGGATTAATTTAAGTATCGCAATCACAGTGATGGTGCGTCAAAACAACACCAGTTCGATTTATGATAATATGGAGGCGCAGAACATTACAATAGGTCACAGTGTAAGCATGGAGTATTAACTTACTACGTCACAGTACCTCTACTCTGTTTCGTTGCTGAGCAATCAAGCGATCGTTAAGGCTGAGCGCCTGCAGAGCTGCAACTTATATGATCCGTTGTTGTCGACCTTAGGTGGGCAGTTCACCGATGAACTTCGTGGCTCCGAAGGGTGAAGAATGAGGCAAAGTGACACAGTCGGGCATAGACTGTGCACTGGAAATCAATGGCAATCAGTCGCTTCTCAACATGTACCCTTAGCCAACATCGGATTTGACTACTCTTGATTGTCCACTACATTATTGTCATGAAAAAGCTGGATCATGGTCGTAGACTTTGGTGTGAAACTAATTTTTCTCAAGTCAGTTCATAGGGCCTTCTTTGCATGGTGTTTGTATCGTCTATAATTACCATGTATAGATGTTTGTTTTGTTTTGCGCACCTCTCACAGCTATCGCACGGCAAAAACATATAATTGGTGCTTCAATCGAGCGGAATCCTCATTGAAATTCTGGGAGAATTTTTTTCTTTGAATTGTTCGAGATCAATTGGTTGAGTATAACTAGGAGAGTAAGAAATAAAGTTGTAAAGTGAAGTTAGAAATTGAAGTCAGTTGGAAAAGATCAGTAAGGATAGGTGAAATGTGTAGCTTAACTGTGGAGGCATAAGCCGTCGATTGCTTGAGTAGCGTTGCTCAGTAACGAATATGTGCCACGTGGTGCTGTGACGTCAGCGACGAAGGACTTATATGTATCATGTAAAATGTATTCGAAGTACCATTAATGAAATTCTCTACCAAATTTCAAAGAATTTTTTTTACGCTCTCCTTAACCAGTCTAATACCTAACTGCCCATTTTCAGAGTGTTAAATGAGTTTTTGATTGCGCAACTTCCTTCCCTCTCTCTCTGCACCTCATCTTTTCCCACAATAGAAAAAGGCATCCAATATGATTATTATACACCAAAACGCTGACTTGCGCAAGAGTTAGCAAACGTATAGTCTATAAATACTGTCAAACATATTAAATAAATTTAATAGGAAAAAGCTTCAGTAATAAACAACACTCCGTATTGCAGCTCTGAGTCACTTATCAAAAGAGAGATTCTGTTACTGTTACTGGGAATCTATAATGCGCATTCCCTTTCGGTTGAAAAGCGCAAGCCAAGTGTCCTCCAAATTTCAAATCATCTAGAGCAACTGATCCACAGTTCCAGAAGAAACTATACGGTATCATACCACACAAATACAGTCCATGGTTATTATTATTATCTTTTTATCTCAATTCTGTCCCAAATTAAAAAAATGTCCCTGTATATTGTGTTAATTATTACAGTCTCTTATGATTTTCTATAGTACTAAAATATTTAATAAAAAATAAAGATAAACATGAGTTTATTATAGGCTGTATTTATTATTTTTAGCAGAATCTTATATTGCATGATTATACATTAAAAGTGGGTCTGCATGTAAATAACGATTTTCCATGATGACTCCAGTCCTCCACAAAAGAAAACATCTGTCGACAAAACATCAACCACAACATCACAAAAAAAAAAAATAAATAAAAATAAAATAAAATATTGTCGGCTAACCCCGGTATTCTTAAAACGAACTTTAGTCGTAGTTCGAGCTAAAACTTAAAAATTACGTCATTTCGTATTCTTAAAACGAACTTCGACTAGCACTACGACTAAATGACGTGAACCTCGACTAAA